AAAAGCTGAATTGCTTAATCAGGTTGTGGTTTTTGCATTTTACAAAGGACGGAAAACCCAAGTTATTTCCAACAGCTCCAACTACCATCCATCGATTTTTGATACCCGCTTAATATATTATATAATATATAATATCCAGCAGTCTTTGGCAAGCAGGGGGGTACACCCTGGACAGGTAGCCAATCAATCACAGGGCAACACAGAGACAAGGGACACACAACCAAGCACACACTCACACCTAAAGACAATTTAGACAGACTAATCAACCTGACAGTCTTGTTTTTGGGCTGTGGGAAGAAGCCAGAGAACCCAAGCATGCACAGGGAAAACATGCAAACTCCTTCCAGAGAGACCCCAGGCCAGGATTTGAACCCAGGACTTCCTTTGTGCAAGGCAGCAGCGTTAACCACTGCTCCACTGTGCAACCCCTCAGCTGCAGTAGTATACGAATTAGACTTTAAACCACTTTGCAAACTACGACATTTAGTTCAGCTCTAAAACATTCATTATTTTTAATTGTACTCTAAATCGTAACACATCTTTGCAGAATTAAAGGTACAGCGGACGATCTTTTTCTTCTGAGTGGATCATCTGAACCATTGGTCTGCATAACTGTCAATCATTCTGGTGAACCATTTCCACAAGGCCGTCGCCGTACAAGCTCGTTCCCGGGTAGATTTTACTTCTTGCATGTGCAAAGCGAAGGTTGGGCTGGCTTTCTGCTCGACAGTTGAGCTTAAGTTTGACATTGAGATTACTGCTAGAAGAAGTGCTGCAAGGCTGGCAGCTACTTGTAAACAGAGCATGCATGAGGATAACTGGGCATTCTCTCTCATGTGCATTTTTTTTTTTTCAAAACGTGGAGAGGGCGGTTTCATCCTGAAATTCAGAAACATTCTCCGCCATACCGTTAAGATTTTTTTTTTAACATTTTTCTTCAGAAACATCATTTCATGCTGTCTCTTTTTATTGATGGACCACTTTTTTATGTTATTTGCTGCATGCACATAGTTCTTGAATTATCAGTTTTGAATATCATAGGATTTTGAAATGAACGCCCAAACCCTGCTGCATCCTATTACAGTAACACGTTCACCACATGTTTGATTTACAAGCCATGATGCAACAGACTCATGTCTTCTGTTCCTCTGACCTGGTTCGACCTGCGCGTCTCTCCAGCGGATACAATCTGACCTCCATCTCTTCCTGGTGATACCTTTGTTCTTTGACTCCAGCGTGGGTTACACCTTCAGTGCTCAACCCAATAGGAAACATCCCACCCTGATCGTTTTTATCTCTAGCAGTCTTTTATGACAATGCAGCAGAGTCATGCTGCAAATCTCTTTTTAGCCTAATGAAAAAGCATATATATTTACAGAATAAAATAGAGTTGCACGAGGGAATATAAGACAAATTCCACCACAATTATTGCAAATATATTTTGCATTTGTACATTTTCATACATCACACCAAACCCTGCAAGGTGATGGGAGGTACATGCTCCGCAAATGCAGACGAAGACAATCTTGGCGTATATAAAGAGTAAATATTTAAGGTTGCACATTTTGTGTTGGAATTTATACGCAACAGAACGGTCCCAACAGGGAAAAATCTGCATAATTGTGAAGAACTCGTTCAGCCTTCTGTTTGTGCGTTACCCAACAAATTAAAGTAGAAAGACTTCTGCTAGGCACTGATTAGCATACTGTTAGTCTGCTGGAATCATCTCTGAGATGCTTCTGCAGATAAACAATGGTCATGAATAGAGAATTACAACGACTCATGAGTAGATATTTTTCTTCAGTGTTTGTATGTGAATCATTTTATCTCTACACTGAAAAAAAAGCTCTTTGGTGTTGCTTGATTTTATTGTGCACATCGGTTCCACATGATTAAATGAAGTTTACTAATAGAACATTTACCTTTCCATCCACTAATGAAGTCTCACCAATCCAAAGTATTTTATTCATGTGAGACTGATTTAAAAATCATGTTGACTCAACATGATTTTTATGAACTAAAGTTACTTGATTTTATTCATGTCAGAACTTGGGGCTGGGGTGTCTGTGCCCCTGTCTGTCTATGTTGCACATGCTCCTTGTGATTTCCATAGATGTCATTCTAGTTGGAGACACTGCTAACTGCTTCTTGAACCTGTTCTATTTATTTATTTATTTATGCACATTGCCAGCTTAAGAATTATGCACAACTTTGTTTTAGTACATATATATTTAATTTCATTAATCATACTTTAAATGCGAAATGAACAAAAACTGTAATCGATGGATTCATTTTAATTTGCAACATTTTAGAAAGAGTGTGGCATGCTGGGATATCTGTTCCATCTAACCAGTAATCAGCGTGCTGGATCACGAACACAGTCTTTTTAAGTAGAAACTACGTCGTACCCTTTTAGGTTAGCATTACACAAGTAAATCATGTCCGTCTTACCAACTTGATCCAATTATGTAGCGACTACATGTAAGGAATAAGTGACTTGAACAGAGGATTTCTGTTTTTCCAGTGTACTTTTTATGTTTCAGCATTGTTTCAGTGGAAACGGCATGCCTGTGCGCACTGTTTAGCTTTTGCTCACTGGGTCTAAATTTAACAGTTGCCATACCTGCATTGCTTTTACTCATTTATCCCCTCAGTGTGTATTCTCCTGGGTTTCTGTTTGTTATTTTCCAAATCTTAGTTATTTTTTATTCCTGCTCTGGGTATAAAGTGCTGTTCCTGCCACGTTTTATTTGTGCTTTGGGTTTGTCTTCTTTCCACTGCAGCTCCTTTTGATTTGTTGTTTAAACTTTCTATTTTTCCAACTACCTGCATGCCTCTTGAGCTCAAGTCTGCATTTGAGTTTGTGCACAAACACACACACACACACACACACACACACACACACACACACACACACACACACACACACACACACACACAATGACACATCTTTAAGTTCTACTTCATGCCGTCTCACGTCAGTCGTCCCAGCCTGAAGCTGCAGTGATAAATTTGAGTCCGGTGCCAAATGTCATTTAGACCTACAGTAGAGTTATTGTTGTTAGTCAGCTACTGTACGTAGGAGGCTGTTTCCACAAACGGCTCCAACCGCATGCGCGCTGTGGTGTTTACATGTGTCAGTTTTCTTTTGAAGAACGTTTTTATTGTGTCTGCCCCTGTGACTAAAGAACCACAGGCCTGATTATTCTTGTTACAGTCGGGTCTCCACGGGATATTTTTGGTTTACTTTTTTTTCATGACTGTTCTCACAACCGCTACACACTGCAACTGACAAACAACAGAAATTATGTAATGGGTTGTTGGCAGTTTTTGACACTGCTTGCTGTAAGCAGATGTGGGGAAATAAACTGCTTATTTATCTGAGTTTGATGCACCGTCAGGGGACTTTTTAGCTTTTCATGAAAAATGCAAATATTCAGTGTTTATACAGTATTTTGCAGTCGTTCATTTTAAAGGAGGCGACATCTCTGAAATAATTTCCTTTATGTTCACTTTTCCAAGCAAAGGCTGAAAAATGTAACACTCGTCTGCTGGATTGATAAGTGAATGCATATGTATTCAGAGGTAAACATGCTGTGTGAGCGCATGCAAAGGCGGTGCATAAATAAACAAATTCTCTCCCTCTCAAATACACCCACTTCCTGCGTGCGTTGCGTACCCACCGCAGCAGCACCGTGCGACTTTTGGCTGCTCTGAAAAGTGTATTTCACTCTGGCAATTATTGACAAGATTCACAGGAATGAACAAATCAGATGACAGGAAATCCTCAGCATTTCTAGAATTTCCATTTTGTCTAGCCCATCCAAGTGTTGTGTGTGTGTGTGTGTGTGAGTGTGTGTGTGCACAAAGGGGGAGTGGGGGGCGGCTGGGTTGTGTTTCCTGTGTCGCAGTTTACTGTTTTTTAGAGCAAGAAAAATGGGCTTATGTAACGGTCATGTGATTTAGCCAGGAATAGTGGTGGGGCTACAGCTGCTGCCTCTCCTCCTGCAGCTCGGTTCCTTGCCTTTTGGCAGCAGCCAGACAGACACACTGCGCACTGCTCCCCGCTAGCTCTGAAAACAACTTCTGCTGAATCCGGCACACAAAATGCAAAATCTGCACTGTGGACTGCAACAACGATAAATCTACAGAATGTTCTTGCATTTGTTGTTGTTTGTGATGGGGCATGTAGGTCAACAAACACGCCTATAAAGTCGGCAGGCACAAATGAACAAAAAAAGAAGTAAAGAAAACCTGCTGGACCATTCATGCGTCCAAATTACAAAAAAATAAAAACTTGTTAAAGTCTAATATTCACGCATTCTTAACCCAAGCTCCAAGGCCTTGCACTGGGGTCACCAGGGTCACAGTGCTACATTTAATCACCCTCTCGCTGCAATGCACGTGTCTTTAGGGAGCAGATGCAAGATTTGTCGTTATTTTTCAGTATGTGTGTTTACATGTATGAGTGCATACATGAGCGGGCGAGAGAGTGAATGACTGTGTGTGTGCAGGAGCAGGAGCCTTTCTGTGTGTGGGCGTACGGTGCTCAGAGGCTGGCGGACGTGTGGAAAAAGGAGAGATTGAGACGCAGCTACAGAGGAGAAGACGAGTGGCGAAGGAGGAGGGGAGCTGTACAGTGAAGAGCTAGTGGAGCGGAAGGAAGCTCTCTGAAATGGGAGATCATTGGGTTTCGCTGAGGGCCAGGCAGGAGGCAGGAGGGATTCTCGCCATGTTAGCATCACTGTCAGAAATAGCGGAGCTGCAGCCAGTGCCCTGGTTCCACCAAATCCCTCGTGCTATTTACTGTATAACACACCAGTACTCATGCTTCGTAAGCAGCGGCAACAAAATAAAAGCTTTTTCCCACGGTTTCACCTTGACAATTATACATTATACGATAAAATGTTGCAGCATTTATCTCATTTTCCTATTTTAGATTAAGCTGCACAACGAAAGTGTCACCATAAGTACTGATGCGGTGTCTTGTCTTCTTTTAGGTCAGCACAATTACCTGTGTGCTGGGAGGAATGACTGTATCATTGACAAGATTCGAAGGAAAAACTGTCCGGCGTGTCGTGTACGGAAGTGTCTCCAGGCTGGGATGAACCTTGGAGGTGAGGAGTCACCACCCCGCATTTCAAGTTTACCCTGTCACATGTCTTGGAACTTAAAATTTGGTCAGCCTCAGTCAGTTTATGAAAAATGATAGGCATGAAGATGTAGGTCCTTCTAGTGATAAAAGGCACAGAGATGCTGAGTCACTGTATACATGCATGTTTAATGAGTCTACAAGATAATCTGCATATAGAGTTTGCAAATAAGTCTGTGTTGATGTGTTACTTAGAGAGCTTTAGGCACACTAAATGCCTAGCAGTGACTCCTGACTCATTTATTGTTTTTAATTGTCTTGATCTCTTTACTTTTTATATTTATATATATATATATGTATATATATATATATATATATATATATATATATATACATATATATATATGTATATATATATATATATATATATATATATATATATATGTATATACATATATATATATATATATGTATATATATATATGTATATATATGTATATATATATATATATATACATATATATATATATATATATATATATATATATATATATATATATATATATATATATATATATATATATATATATATATATAGGGGATGTCCCGATCAGGTTTTTTTGTTCTCGGGTCCGAGTCATTTGATTTTGAGAATCTGCCGATACCGAGTCCCGATCCGATACTTTTGATACATAAAAAAAAGAAAGAAAAGGAAGAATCAGATCCAGAATGTTCCTTACTTTTTATTTAATTACCTTTTTATTTTAATTTTTAAAAACAGGTCACTTCTGTGAGGTAGCTTGAACAATCAAGTAATAAATAACATAAATTCTTCACTTTTGGACTTTATTGCAAATATAAAAAGTCTAATATAAAAACAAATAGCACTTCAACTATTTTACCTCGGCCCCCAAAATGCTTAGATACGTCCCTGGACATGTGACAAAGTTTTGAAGATGATCTGAATTGTATCAACTATATAAATACTACATGCTGATAAATTATTGCTTTATACAGGTAAAAATGTGTAGTGGGATCAATCTACCAACATTTAATTTTTTTAAGAACTTTGTTTTGTTTTCTTGGTTTTTATTTTCCTATCTTCCTGTCCCGTCTGTCTCTGATCTTCCTGCATCTCCCAGTCCTCCAGAAAAACTCCTGCCTGCTTCTTCTTTTTCACCACACAAGTAACTTTTTAACCAGCATATCGAATTGATCTATTGACCGCAAAAAAAGCGGAGTGTGTGCTGCGCTGCCCGGCTGCTCCAGTGACGAGCACGGCAGCGCGAGCGCGTCCAAACGTCATGCTCAAATACAGACAGAACTTACCAGAGAGAAAATGAACGGACACGAATGACTGTGTGTTAATTATATATTTTTGGTGATGCCACTAAGAAACTTAGAAAATGTTACTGTGGCCGTGTGCAGAACGCAGCTGGAGTTCATGAATAATCAGCGGTCTGCCTGCCGCTCTCTGCATCTCTGCTCAAAAGAATCCCCGCTAGCTGAGTCCATATAAATAATATAATATAGGTAGAAACTGGATCTGTTTGTGCTCCTTCTGGGTGTGTAAGTTAAGGGCAACAAGGAAGCCTGACAACCTTTAAGGAGAACCAAGTTGCTCTCCTGTAATTTGAACCCAGTATCCGACTCCGGATCGGGGCTTGGATCGGGAAGTAAAGCCCGAGTCCTGATCAGTCTGAAACCACATGGTCGGGGCCGATTTGCAATCGTGATCGGATCGGGACATCCCTAATATACACTGCTCACAAGAATTAAAGGAACACTTTTTTTTATTGGGCCTGGCATGAAATCACTTAAACCTGTCTGATAATTTCCTGGTTGATTAGGAAGCTGAGGGCATTGCTAATCACTTTCAGCTGTATTGGTATTCATGGACTTAATGACAGGTGCACTAAAGTGGCAACATTTACAAAACCCTCAAAACAGGACTGGTTTATCATGTAGAGGTCATTTCAAGTTTCTCCCTCTTGATCTTTTTTGGCTGGTTTTCCACTCGTGCTAGTTGTGGTTTGAATAATTATCTCTACTGGCAGTATGAGGCGATTCCTTAACCCTACAGAAGTTGCACAGGTTGTCCAACTTCTCCAGCATGGCACATCCAGACGTGCTGCAGCACGAAGGTTTAATGGGTCTCCCAGCAAAATCTCCAGAACATGGAGGAGATTTCAGGAGACTGGCGGTTATTCTCGGAGAGCTGGACAGGGTCGTAGAAGGTCCCCAACCCATCAGCAGGACCGATTCATGCTCCTTGTGCAAGGCGGAACAGGTTGAGCTCTGCTCGTGCCCTACAGAATGACCACCAGAGGGCCACTGGTGTGAATGTCTCTACCCAACAATCAGGAACAGACTTCATGAAGATGGCCTGAGGGCCCGACGTCCTGTAGTGGGCCCTGTGCTCACTGCCCAGCACCGTAGAGCTCGACTGGCATTTGCTCAAAAACACCAGGATTGGCAAGTCCGCCACTGGCGCCCTGTCCTTTTTACAGACGCGAGCAGGTTCACCCTGAGCACCTGTGATAGATGTGAAAGAGTCTGGAGAAGACAAGGAGAACGTTATGCTGCCTGCAACGTCGTTCAACATGACAGGTTTAGTGGTGGGTCAGTGATGGTCTGGGGAGGCATATCCATGGAGGGACGCACAGACCTCTACTGCCTAGAAAATGGTGCTCTGACTGCCATTAGGTATCAGGGTGAAGTCGTTGAACCCGTTGTCAGACCCTACGCTGATGCAGTAGGTCCTGGTTTTCTCCTAATGCACGACAATGCCCGGCCTCATGTGGCAAGAGTATGCAGGCAGTACCTGGAGGATGAAGGAATTGAAACAGTTGAATGGCCTTCACGATCCCCCGACTTAAACCCAATAGAACATCTGTGGGACATTATGTTTCAGTCCATTAGGCGGTGCCAGGTTGCTCCTCAGACTGTACAAGAGCTCAGGGATGCCCCCACACAGATCTGGGAGGAAATGCCACAAGACACAGCATCCGTTGTCTCATTAGGAGCATGCCCGACGTTGTCAAGCATGCACACGAGCTCGTAGGGGCCACACAAGATACTGAAAAGCAATTTGAGTTGCAGAAATTCAGTTTTTGAAAAAACGAACTAGCCTGCCACATCTTCATTTCACTCCGATTTTAGGGTGTCTACACAATTGAGCCCTCTGTAGGCTGATGACTCTTATTTCCATTAAAAGACTTGGCATCCTTTTGTTCCTGTCGTTACTTGTATAGATATCCAACTTCATATTGAGATCTGATGTATCTAACGTGTTTCTTTAAAGTGTTCCTTTAATTTTTGTGAGCAGTGTATATATATATATATATATATATATATATATATATATATATATATATATATATATATATATATATATATATATATATATATATATATATATATATATATTATTCAAAAATATTTTTAATAAAAATGAGGGGAAATGGAAATGTTTAAATAATAAACAAATGAGAAGGAATAAAGAAAAGGAAGACGTAAAGGTTATACAGGATCCTGGGAAAGTCAGAATTGGTAAAAGCAGCAGCATGAGGAGAAGATGGTGATGAAAATCAACAGGTCACTAAAAGCAAGCATGTAAGCATGAATATGTGGTATGACAGTAGATAAGGTTTAGCAAAGGTACACACTTTCTTTATTTCACGCTCACTGCATGATTCTATTGCTGACGTCTTTCTAGAATTTCAAATTTGAGGAGAACGTGTAAGGAGGCTAGTTGCATCATGACATGAAAGTGAATTCATGTGTGTTTGTTTGTGGGTGCAGTAAACAATCAGACAAGTTTTCTCTTCTGTGTAGGATCAAGCATTTAACAGCAGAGCTAAATGTTTCCACCTATTTTACACAAATTTACCCCTAAAACGCAGCTCATGATCTGTTATTATAGCAGTAGCTCAGGAGGTAGAGCGGGCTGTCCAGTAATTGGAAGGTTGCAGGTTCGATCCCAGCTCCGACAAGAGAATGCTGCTGTTGTGTCCTTGGGCAAGACACTTAACCCGCCTTGCCTGCTGGTGGTGGTTGGAGGGAAAGGTGGCTACTGTGTTCGGCAGTGTGCCACAGAGCTGCTGTGGCTACAGCGTAGCTCATCTCCACCAGCATGTGTATGTGAATGGGTGGATGTGTTGTGAAGTGACTTAGGGGGTTGCAGAACCCTAACAAGGTGCTATGCAAGTACAGGCCATTTATCATAATAATAATAATATTTCTCTTTAGTTCCCTTTTAATTGGGTTGTTGTGTTTTCCCCCCAAAAGCACGGAAATCTAAGAAGCTGAAGCTGAAGGGAGTCAGCGAGGACCTGCAGAGCTCTAAGGAGGGTCAGATAGCCGCGGGCGGCGTTGGAAGCAGCTACCTGTCCTCAGAAAAGGAGCTGAACCCCAGCCCCACCAACGCCTTAGTGCCCCACGGGCCGGGGGTAGTTACGCCTTTCCTGCCCCCCTCCATCAGCAGTGTGTTGGAGCTGATTGAGCCTGAGGACGTGTACTCCGGCTACGACAACACGCAGGCCGACACGACCGACCACCTGCTGTCTAGCCTCAACCGCCTGGCTGGGAAGCAGATGGTATGCATGGTGAAGTGGGCCAAAGTACTTCCAGGTTAGTGACCAGTAGAGCTGCAAGGTGATACCGAAAGGCCTTTTCTTACTGCAGGTTTGGAGAACAGAAGTGTCCCCAGATTAAACAGCACATACAGTTATGTTTATCCTCCTCAAGTTTAATCATCAGTATTTATTAACGCTATAATAAGCATGTTTTATTGTGAGTCTGGGGGGTTACTTGCTGGGGGGGGGGGGGGGGGGGGGTTAATAAGCATAAGTTTCATTTATTTTTACAATTTATCAATTAAATCAACACAACTGCTAGTTTTGTCAGAGCGCACAGTTTTAATTTTGAATATTAGGTCAGGAAATTATTCATCAAAGCTCCCACGAGATTACAAGTGAATCCTATTTTAGCGTGAAATAGAATCAAGATTAGGAACTCATTTCCATTGTTGGATTTCATGTTTGACAGAAGATCTAATTAATTTTTATGGATGAAGAACATCAGAGGAGGAATTTCTGTTTGTGGGGAGAAAAAAACAAACAACAAAAAAATAAACAAGTTTCCCCTAAAATACCAGGAGGATGGAGACGCACAAAAAGGTGCCTCAAAGGCAGCTCTTTTGCAGTATAGCAAATATTCGATACCTCCACGGTGTCTGCTTGCTTTATCCGGACGTATAAATAGAAGCCAGACAAACGGGTCAAAAAGAGTACCTTGGACTTTCAGAAACGTCATGGCCTGCTTTCCTTTTGGGTTTGGATGTGGCTAAGCTAAAACACACCAGACAGGAGGGACAACTAGCTGATTATCACAAACTCCCTTTATTTAAACGTTCATGAAGTTTCCTTAAAATAGCTAGAAAATGCCTAGAAATATGTATGAAAGAGAAATTCACCATAGATTTTTTAGCAAATGTGTGTTTTTGGCAGATTGTCATACGTGCTGACAGAAATAGTCCCTAAAGCCATGAGATAAGTCACTTGTGTGTCCTCAGAAGGCCTAGGTGTTTTTTATTTTTTTTTTTTTTGCCATTGAGGAGGAGGAGAAGGAGGAGGAGGTTCTTGCCAGAGTTTGATTGAGAGTTTGGCAAGTTTCCTATCTGACTATATTTTGAGAGCAACATGCCAATAACCAGAGGCCTTAGTGGGGATTTGCATTAAAAAAGGGGGTGAATGCTTGTCAGTGATTATCATGTCAAAATAAATAATTATAGAAGTATTTCACAGTACTACTGATTTAGGTAAAACAGTGAGATAATAAAACATATTTTGTAACATCTCTGAGTATTTAAAGTGACAGTGTGTAGTTTCCCTGGCGATGGGGGGCAGTACATACCCAAATGACTGCAAGCTAAAATTTATTTTGTGTTCAAATAAGACCTCACCAATGGATGGCCATTAGGGTCAAAATCCCTGGGAGTACAACCTCCACCAAAATAAAAAGATCATCAGACTCCCTTTCATCACCGACAAAGAGTGAAGAGGTAAATGTTTAAAAGTACGTTTATTAATGGTGAAAGTTTTGTAACCATTTGTTACAAACCAGTAAATGCATTTTGTTCTCATGGGCTTCCGTAGAAGGAAATATGGCATCCAATATGGTGTCGCCCAGAGACTTAGACCCACTCCCATGTATTTTAGAACAGTGTTCTATGGTTATACGTTATGAAACTGCCAGTATTTTTCATCAACTGGGCATCTTTTAATTAATCTACAACATTTCGATGGATATTTCCAGAGATTAATGGTACACACTACACATTGTCACTTTAATGATGCTTTTCTCTCATCACCCTCACCCCTGTGTGCTAGGTTTTCGGGGCCTGCCCATTGAGGACCAAATCACGCTGATCCAGTACTCGTGGATGTGTCTGTCCACCTTCTGCCTCAGCTGGCGCTCCTACAAACACACCAACGGACAGATGCTCTACTTCGCTCCTGATCTCATCTTTAACGAGTAGGTTCACTCCTTCATTTATCCAGATTTTTCACACCCCACCAACATACCACATTTGGACTGTTGTTGCTGAATCAAATGTTATAACTAAGCGCTGTGGCCCTGAAATGGACAATGATGTCCTAGCTTCAATGGTGCAAATACAGAGAAGCAGGTTTAGAGTTTTGGGAACAGATTCATCTCTCTGGGATGCAGGATTCCTCGAGGCGATCCACTGTCCACTGGGCACTGGAGCCACTTACCGATTCACTTAAAGTGAATTAGACATTAAGGACATTAGAGCTGGCAGCGCTGAGGCTGGCGTGACCTTGTTTTCTGATGAACTTCAGGGGTTTCTACTGGATGAGCCAAAACGACTTATATATATATATATATATATATATATATATATATATATATGTCCTGTTCGACTATGTAGATTCACTCACTCATTTTCTGCACCATCTTAGTTCTGGCCTTATGGGAGACGGGGAAAGGGAGGGGCTGCAGGACCGTCTATCGAGGAGCATCGTCACGCACTTTCACCTAGGATCAGGATTAGTTGCTTTGCTGATCACTAGTATTCTGGGAATTCAGGTAATTTCATCTAATTTTTAATTTATGTATAAAACACCATCATTCTACTGTTAAAGGTAACCCAAAGTTCTGAATACTAAAAAGTCCATAAAAAGGGAAAAGTACAGATTTGATCAAGTAATAAAAACAGATGAAAACTTAATAAATCAAATGCATTGAACAGAATAAAACCTAATTTAAAAGGGCACTGTGTAATAAAACCTCTCACACACACAACAGGTATGATGTCCAGCTTCTTCATTCTACTAAACTCGGCTTGGCTGAATTACCTTCATACCCGTATACCTAAACATAACTTAACACACACACTTAAACATTTGTCTCATTTTTGCCCTTTTATATAAATTATTCATTTAAATAAGAAAGATTTTAAAGCCTGATTTTTTCTTAGCTAAAGCTGTCGAGTCATTCGATTTACATAGTTGGGCTCTAAACTTTGTCCTATAGTTTGTTGTTTTCTAAGACAAGACAATTAAAATGTTTTATCAGCTTTATAGTATGCTTTCAAACAGCTGTTTAGTTGCCTCTGTGATTATTTTAAAGGTGTGGAACACTCGTTTAATGAATACATTTGCAGTGGTCTGTTAACACCTTGTAAGTCGTATTCTGGGTACAAAAAGCCCTGGTGTGCCTGTTTCAGGATCAAGAAGATTGCCACATCAGAGAAGATCTTCAGATGGCAGGATTTAGTCTCTTATTTCCTGATATCTGGACATCTCACTTCTGATTGGCTAACAGAAACTCTACTCAACCACTGACAGTTTGCTTTGCAACGTTGATGTTTTATCTCCACAAATAACACAAGCCTGAAGGAGTTCTGTGGTGGAGTTGCTAATGCTAATAGTTAGCTTCTACTAGCCAAGCCGGTCTCTGCTGTTTCCTGGACACTAGACCAACAACAGCCTTCCCTGCCGTGAGTCAAGATGAATCCACGAATGTTTAGTCATAGTGTGACGTAGATCTGTCAGGTTTTTCTAACCCTAGAGTTTCATCATCTATTTTCTTTCAGAAGCTAATGCAGGAGATAGGCATAGGAGATTTTTTTCTTGTTCAGCCTGCATGAAAAACTCAGTGACCATTATAATCAGAAATAATCATTAAAAAACTTTTTTTTTCAATGAAGCACACCTTAAAGCTCATCTGTTGTATATATTAACATTAATGTCAGAGCACCTTTATACAGCAACCAGTTAGGTCAAAGGAAGCTACGTTGATTAAAATAACAATTAAATTAAATAACATTTCGGAAAAACAGCCACTCTAGGGAAATACTGTAAATTTCTACTTTTTGATGCCAATAATTGTAGACATAAGCCTGCCTTCAGTAGTAACCTCCCACTTGTGTCAATTTGTACGATGAGGCCAAGCCCTCACAATGCGGGTGAAAAATTTAAGCAAACGCAGAAATGAAATAAATTGCAGTTCCACCCTCATCCACTGGGGGCTGGTGTCAGAAGCAAGCAAATCCTCATTGACTCCCATGTTAAAAATACCAATTTCACAGCAGAAATAAATATGTTTACAGCCTGGTTCCAAAACATGTTTTTTGTTAAATGATCTAGTTTACACTCATGACAACTCTGAGGGGGGTGAATTTGTTTCCCATTCTTCTGTTTAAGTGTATTAAAAGCCTAAAATTCTGTATAATTAATGAGCATCAGACCCACGTGACCACAGAGCTAGCTCCGTGGAAAGGCCTCAGTCTGAGCCTCGGCCTCGTCTGAAAACTGTTCGGTCATTTTCAGTCTCTCAACTTAGACCATTAGTTGTAGCGTTTGTGCATTCTTTTTTTGGATATTTTTTGTGCAATTGTTGGACAAAATGACTTGCTGTGGCATTAATTGCACTAATAGAGCGTCCAAGGAGTTTCCACTTCATTTTTTTCGGTAAGTAAAATTATATTTATGTATTTTAGGTCACTGCCGCTCTTGCACTAGCTGAGCTTAGATTTTAACATGTACTGTTTAACCATGACATTTAAATTTAATAGGGTAAACCCCAGTGCATTTAACATAATGCTGCACTTTAGAAAATGGGTTGAAATATAACATGTTGGTGGAGCTGGGTTCTGACTATCGGCTTGTGGAGCTCTCAAGAGACCGATGTTTTCCACCCGGTTCTCCCCTCCCCGCAGCTCGCCGCATCTCTGTCTGATCGTGGCTTCTGTCTGTTGTGCGGGCTGCTGGCTTGTGGAGCTCTGGGATGGAAACCTTTCCACCCGGTTCTCCCCAGCGGCAGCTCTGCGCATCTCAGATCGCAGCGGCGCTTGTCTGCTGTGCGGCTGCCAGCTTGTGGAGGTCTCGGAGACCTCTGTGTTCCACCCGGTTTTACCCAACGGTCAGCCCGGCGTATCTCTGACTCAGAAGCTCTGGTGATGTGCACAGTTAACTCCGGTTGTAGCTAGGTTGCTACCTCCGTTAGCTTAGCTCCCACCTCCGCGTTAGCTTTGGGTTAGCTTCAGGTTAGCTTGTAGCTAGTTCGACCGGGTGTCGTCAGTTGATCCCAGCCTTACAGTCCCACCCTCAGCTCCACCTCTCTTCCCTTTTGTGGAATTGTCTGGGCTTGACAGAACCTGTGACACGGTCAAAATGGCGGTGGTGGCCACCTCCCATTTTTCTTCAAAAACGTGTTATTGGAGTCTATGGAAACCCATTGTCCAATATTTATGTCGATGGATGAGGCGAACAAGAAGAAAAGGAAATCTACTGTATGTGGATGTTTAAAATGGTCAGAGCAGCAGTACGCAGCTGTGGAGGAATTTATTTTCATAGAATTGATCAAAGAGCAGAATAGTAACCTCTGTAGACTACCTGCTGTAGAAGAACAGCATTTGTCGGGGGCGGGGCTTAAAGTTCTGACTACTAGCTTGTATAAGTCAGTCTCAGAGGGTCAATTTTTCCCCAAATAAAAAGGTAGTTCTTTACAGCACTTTTTCCTAACATAGTCCTCAACAGTGAGCAGCTGTTGGTAGTAAATATTGAAATTTAAAATGCAGTTACAGGTAGTTTGTGGTGAACGTTTGGTTATATTCCTGTTACAATGTAAAGCCAAGCCTCTGACAGAGCCTTTTGTGAATTTGTGGATTAAGACGGTTGCTGTCAATGTGCATGGGCATGTCGGCTTTTCAGGTCATTAAAAAGTCAAATACGAGGCCAAACTGGACTCATAATTATGCTAAGTCCACTTAGTCTGCAGGTGAAAGGACTTTTTTTTTCACTTGTCTCCATAGTAACTAAATGCTCATTGGCCCAGGGACACAGGGCAATCTAATAAATTGACTATCCGCTCATTTATTAGACTAAAATCTGTCACTGATTAAACATAAGTGCTGCTAAACCAGAAGGCCGTTTCACATTAAAGGCAAAAGGAAAGTCTGTCTAATTCGTTACCAATAAAGGTATTTGATTCAGGGCTGCTCTGCTTTGTAGAAACTTCATATTTCCTTGTGTTCAAATTAAAGGTCTAGTGTTACATTTAAATGATAAATGATCCGCACTTGTATAGCGCCTCTCAGAGTAAGGACTCCAAAGCACTTTACACTACAGTGTATCATTCATCCATTCACACACACATTCACACACTGATGTTGATGAGCTACGATGTAGCGACAGCTGCTCTGGGGCGCGCTGACAGAGGCGAGGCTGCCGAGCACATGCGCCACCGGCCCCTCCGACCACCACCAGCAGGCAAGGTGGGTTAAGTGTCTTGCCCAACGACACAACATCAGAATTTTCTATTTATGCATATTGGCTGATGCATTTTATGCTAGAATTTAAGAGCATCTTATGTTGAGGATTTGTTGGGAGTTGTAGCTATTTGATTGCATTCAACAATGCAAGATCTAGCTTAAAGGCTAAGTTCAGTCAGTTTTTTACTTTTTGAAAATTTGATCGATTACTCTGTTTCACATGCGGGCTGAACGTGAAAATAGTCTTCTACCCCGTTTCCTGCATTAGCCGGTGATAGAAAATAGATGGGGGAACGCTCAGATTAGAAAGGACAGTGATTTTAGCTCGCCAAATTGAAGACCATAACTTGGTCTTTAATTTGTTAGCACAGGAAAAATGTGACTGACTCGTCAATCAGCTATGATTGTATGTTGGAAAACAACACACGTTATGGACATTTTTGTTTTTGCTGGAGTTCGATCAGTTGTTAATGTAGATCCACTGATTACTCTCTGAATGCATTTGGTGTTACATGAGATATTCTCTTAGACAAGCAAACATATGGTGCTATGTGTAGTATTTGACATATTTGTTGTGAGGGACTCTGAGCCATCATGGCATCAAAATGTAGCTCCATGAAAGCCATTTTTGTTTTCTAGTTGGCTGTGGCCACCATCTTGAATTAAATTGGCTCCAAATGTTAATCCGTTGCTGTTGTAGGTGTAGTGATTTCAGTTTTAGGAAAGTCGAGTAATTGAAGACTTATTTCTCTTATGAAACCACACACAGACAGTAAAAATACTGCAAAATAATTATTGGTTTATCCCGAATGAGAGGTGGTTTCAGACATTTAGAATTTGCTTCCACACTCACCTTTAGAACCAAACACCAATGCACTACACTGAAAATGCTCTCAGTTCAGTCTTTTGTATACTGTGATACCAGAAGGATTTGGGTGACACCTTTCCAGTGAAATAGAACAATGAATGGAACATGATCTCCAGCTTTTGCTGGAGTGTTTTGCAGCCGAGTGTGAAGTAGCTGAGGTGAGAATCAGCTCCTCTAAATCTGAGACCATGGTCTTGAGTCAGAAAAGGGTAGAATGCCTTCTCTGGGTCAGGGATGAGGTCCTGCCCCAAGTGGAGGAGTTTAAGTATCTCAGGGCGTTGTACTGATCTGTGGTGGTGAAGAGAGAGCGGAGTTGGAAGGCAAAGCTCCTAATCAAACCAAATTTATCCATTACACCGTTGGATCTACATTCCTACCCTTATCTATGGTCACGAGCTTTAAGTAGTGACCAAAAGAAAAAGATTGCGGATACAATCGGCAAAAATTTGTTTCTCCGCAGGGTGGCTGGACTCTCCCCTTGATATAGGTTGAGAAGCTTGGTCATCTGGTAGGTGTTCGGAGTAGATTCGCTGCTCCTCCACAATAATTGAAGGGAAAATGGATGGATATTGTATTTTTGCACCTATATTCAATTTTAAATGTGTTATGCTCCATTCTAATGGTTTTAATGCATGTGTACTGAAAAGTTCAAACAAGTGTACAAACTTAATAATTTGGTAAAAGAAAGTAGATTTAGGAAAAGTAATCACACAAACACACACACACACACACACACACACACACACACACACACACACACACACACACACACACACACACTGGTATGTATATGTTTGTGTGGGCTTCCATTGACTTCCATTCATTTTAGTGACTCCACTTTGCCTTACCCATACCCTAACCTTAACCCTAAACTAAAGGTTAATTAACACCATACCTCTAAAACCAACTAACAGGGTTCTTCAACTTGTGTGGACCAGCAAAATGTCCCCGTAATTTGGAAATGTCCACATGTAGGTTAAAGTCAAAAAGTGTCCACTTGAACATATAAAGACAAGTACACACACACACACACACACACACACACACACACTGAGCTGATCTCTATTTACTTGTCATAAATGTTTCCTATAACCCAATTTTATTCAGTTGTCAACATTATTTATTGTTTTATAGGTAGTAAAAATACTTGTCCACAAATTAGAAAGTACATAGAACAAAGTCGTTGTTGCTGTTCAGCCAGATGAAGGAAAATATGTGACAGGAATTTCAACACATTATTAAAAGATATTTTTTGTGTGCGCATTTAGGATGACTTGAAAACCTTTTCGGTAAAATGTGTTTTATTTGAACATGTATGAAGTCTTTACTATAATCTGTTAAAAGTTTCCTTTTCCAAATCTGACGTGCAAAACTACAGAATAATTGCATAATTTATTGCTTCCCTGTTCTAAACCAGCTGTCAGTCAAACACTCTGGATTGTGATTTGTTTACACACTCTTCTCTCAAAGCTTGTTGTTTTGGCTCAACTTTTAGTTTGTCTTTTACGTTTTTTGCTCCACTGTGAATTTTTTATCTTTGCAACAAAGACAGAAAGAGTTCAGGACAGAGACAGAACCAGTGAGAGGAAGACAGGCTCACAGAGATAGAGAAAGAAATAGTAAAGAGAGACTGAAAGACAAAGATTGCAGCTTTTTTTTCCCCCAACCCTTCCCAAAAGCAGCAGCTCATTTTGGGCAGTGATTCAGCAAAATTGATTTCAGGAAGAGGAAGAGAAATTGGGGGGGTGGACTTTCTAAACTAAAAGTTTCGCTGCTCAGCGGGGAAATCTGTCCACTTCTAGTTATTCTGTGAAGCTGACAGCTGCACAGTGCTGCTGAGAAGTGTTCAGCTATGTAGATGCTTTAACTGAAACTTGTTTCCAACCAGCTGATTTTGAGCCTCTCTAAAAAAAAAAAAGTATTCCTACATGATCATGCTCTTCCCTTTTAACCTTCTCCAAACCAAAATAACGGTGTCTTTTCTGTCTGTCGTTGCTAAAACTCCACCCGCTTTCATGTCAAGGGACACTGTTTGCATTTAATTACCTTTGTCCTGATGTCATGGCGATTTATAGCAGAGAGAAGCAGCATCCAATACCAGAAAATCTTTGGCATCTGCAGAGCCCATCTCTCATTGGCTCACGTTTTTTTCCCCTCCACGGCTTCTTTCCTGTTTCTGTGAACTCTGTAATATAACCAAGATTAAACATAAACACAAGTTGATATGTTAAAGTGTGTTCAGATCATTTCTGTAACAGAAATCTTGAATTGCATGTCTCTTCTTACATGAGTTTCTATGGCGACTGATGTTAGATACGAGACCTTCTATAACCCGTCACAGCTTCGAAACAGAGGTGCATCTGAGCTACGAGTGTGTGTGTGTGTGTGTGTGTGTGTGTGTGTGTGTGTGTGTGTGTGTGTGTGTGTGTGTGTGTGTGTGTGTGTGTTTGCTTGTTTGTTTGTTTCTCTGCAACCTGAGGGGAAAATACAGTTTCACTGGACTTAACCAATGTGGTAACATGTAAGAAGGAATTCTGGCCTGCAAATCATAACTGCAGATGCTGAGGAAAACATTTACAGTATTATATCCAAGGGAAAAGGTGTATTAACCCTCCCACTGTCCTGATGGGTGTGACCCAGAGAGGAAAGTTGACCATTGAGTAGGGTTGATGGTTTATCCCTTGGGTCCACGTGGCAGGGGTGAGGAGTGAGCACCACCTCACCCCTGCCATGTGGACCTCAAGGGATAAACCATCAACCCTGCTCAATGGTCAACTTTCCTTGCGGGGTTACCCATAAAGACAGTGGGAGGTTTACAGACCAAGTTCAATGAGAAACTTTTTTTTACTTGTTTACTTGACAAGGCTGATTGTGAAAATGGTCTCGGAGTCTTGGGAAATGGGGAAAAGGCACCACAGGTCTACATCACACTTAAAATTAACATTCATGGATCCATCTTGGCTCGTGACAAGGAAAGCTGTTGTTGATGTTGCATCCTGGAGAGAGCAGAGCACACCTCGGCTACTGGAAGCTAACCGTTAGCATTAGCAACTCCCCACCATTGCAGAACTTCTTCAGGCTTATGTTATTAGTGGAGATGAAACGTCAACGTTGCAGAACGAACGGAGGCAGTGGAAGAGTTGCACTACTGTTAGCCAACCACAGCAAATGTATAGAGAAAAAAAAAACATGTGAATGAGAGCTTTAAGTGGAAATTGTTTAGCTTTTAAAAAATCTTTGTTATCTTTGCAGGGATCGCATGCGGCAGTCTGCCATGTATGACTTGTGTCTGGGCATGAGGCAAGTCAGCCAGGAGTTTGTTCGACTGCAGCTGACGTACGATGAGTTCCTGTCCATGAAGGTCCTCCTACTTCTCAGCACAGGTAGGCAGGAATTCATTCATGTCTGGGGTCGTAGCAATAGATTGAGCTGCATTGATAAATTGATCATTGATCTTAAATGCAAAAACCAATAGAATAAATATTTATCAAACAAACTTTTATTTTGAAAATTGCTTTATTTTGAAGTTCCGCTAACATGCCGTTTTCCACCAGTTCCTGTACATCACCAAACATATTCACTGTAGAAGCTAGCGGTGTCATGGCAAGGAGTAGGGAAACAGTGAAGAAATCGTCTCTCATCTAGGAATCGTCTCTCATCTAGGAAATGATTGTGTTCAAACGTTTTAAATCAATCAGTGGATCCGGAATGATCAACATTGTACTGCTCTTGTCTTTATTTTTGGGCATCATTTGTAGCTGGTATCTTTTCTTTCTCAGCGTCAGATTTTCCAAGCTTACAGGTCTTTGGGTCACGCTGCAATAATCTTATCACTGATGTTAATGTTTAGATATGAAGTTGTTTCTGCAGAAATGTTCTTTAAAGCTGTTATAGCGAATCTACAGGACAAGCTAGGTTTTGACTGCAGAACTCTCACCCCTCTGCTTTCTTCCCTGAGACGCTTCTGCTGAAACTGGACACCTGCACTGCCATAGGACACGAGATAGTGCTAAACACCGGTCGTTGTTTTCTAGGTCCAAAAGTCTTTTGTTGTTCATGACTTCAAATGGTGTTTATCTTTTTGGGATTCTGGTAGTTTTTGCTAAAGTTGAAATGGTAGCAGCCGGCTGTTTCTCCTTTTCAGATACTATCGAGCAGAGAACCTCTCACACCAGTGGTGTTGTGATGCAAGATATATGAGTGCATAATGAATTGATGACCCAGGAAAGTGCAGCTGTTCGACGAGACTGAGAACCAGATGGTCCTATGGTTTCAGGCCGAGCCGTGTTATTGGCTGAGGAATGCAAGAGAAACTACTTTATTGTTATTTTTTACTTTATTTTTTTATCTCCACAATATATTTATAGCTAGAATATGTTAGAACATTGTTAACAGGCATGAAAAAAATAAATAAGCTTTTTTTTTCTCAAAATTTGCTGTTGCAGCTTTAAATGAATTTGCTTTTTGATCATCAAATGATTCATTGTCTGGATGGAATAGTGTCTGATAGGGATGTTCCGATAACGTTGTTTTGCTCCCGTTCCTATTCCAAGTAATTTTTTTTACTATCTGCCAATACCAAGTCCCAATCCGATACTTTTCAGAAAAGCATTAAAAAATGAAGAAAAAAAGATAAATTTTCTAGCAAAGCAAAGTTTCACTTTCATGTTTAGGAAGTACACCAATTAAACAATTGTTTATATTGTGAATTTACTTAAAAGTAGCAGCGTTGCGCTTGTTTCAAGTTGTTTACTCCCTCAATATGTAGCTATGAGCAATGCGTGTTCCCATGATGGAGCAGGCAGGCGGAGGCTTCGGCAGGCAGGGTAACCTTTTCCTGCATAACACCTGTAGCTCCAGTGTGCAGCTCTGGTGCTGCAGGAGAACTATGGGCCACTCCCATCTGTACCGGGTTGGCCTGGGTCGGGTAGTGTAGGTTGTTTACATATCTGGGTGGCCTGGTATTTTTCCGGGCCAACCAAGGCTCATTCTCAGCCCTCTTCTCGAGGGGGTCTGCTTCAGGCTGACCAGGGCCAACACACCCACTGCTGACAGCAAATTCACACCTTCCATTAGAGCAAGCCTCTGATTGGTGGGTAGAATCAGCCCACATGGGCTTAAGACAAGGAGGTGTGGAATCAACCGGGCCAGGCTGGGGCTGACTGGGGCTACCCGGCCCGGGCCGACCCGGTACAGATGGGAATGGCCCTCTAGAAACCCTGATGTTTTGCAGTCTGTTGATACTTGTTTCATTAGCGTCTTTATCTGTCGGATGGCTGCGCGTTTTTGTCTGATTTCCCTGTGATCTATGACTGTTAGAGGTAAACTGGGGATTAATGGATACCGGTGATTTACTTTGTTGATGCCCGAAGTAAAAGCCGACAGCGAAAGTAGCTTGTTTGAAGGAAGCGAATCATGGAGCTGTCTCATTTCCAGCATGTTGAATGCTCAGTTGGCACACATTACAAGTGTCTGTAGCTCTGCCTTTGCTGTCCCATAAAAAATGCCACCAAGCTGCAGACATTTTAGCTCTCCTGAGGAGAAGCGTTAGGTCTGTGTTAGCAGGCTTGCTAACAGCAGCACTTGGTGTCTGAGTCCTTGCCTGCCGTAAATTGTTTGACGTTACTGTGTTGTTCTCATACAAGAAGCAAATATTATATATATATATATATATATATATATATATATATATATATATATTAGGGCTGCACAATATATCGAAAAATTATCGTCATTGCGATAACAGGACGTGCGATAAGCCCATCGCAAAGCACGTCCAAAACGGCGATAAATGTTTGGTTCAAACATTTCCATCCGTGTCATACATCAACTTTTTGTAAACCAGCTCTGTTTTTTATGCGGAAGTATTATTTGACCAATCAAATGTAGCCCTTCTGATATGCGACCAATCAGATGGGTCCGTTCACGTAATACGCCCGCCCCCTATGAGCTGCCCCGCACTGCTCGGCTGTCTCCATCCGAAAGTTGAGATGTTTGCCAGCCTTACATAACCGCTCTTGTTTTCGGCACCACCACTTCCTCCACGCGCCGACACCGGAGTGTCGGAGACGGTGCTGCCGAGCGGAGCTTCCCGGGCTGCGCTTACTTTGGGCCGCCGTGCCGCCGCTTGTTTCACCCGCTCCAGCACAGACTGTATCCCCAAAATTCCACTATCACCGCTCCGCTTTCCGCTGCCGCTGGCTCCCCTTGTTCGTTATGCTGGCACTTTGTGCTGAGGTTTCTGGCTCCGGTTAGCTTCCAGCTAAAAGGCTACAGCACTCTCCTCCCAGTCCCACCCTGCTAAAGAGGGCCTGGAAAAGTTCCCCCACACATCAAAGTGATTTTTCATTTATGAGCTTTTATAACCTTGTTAATCAGGATAGTTGATTTGCTGCTGCACATAAACTGTCAGTCAGAAGCTCTGCTAGCAGGTTATCTTAGAGGAGCTAGTTCAATTTGTTAGCTTGTTATCAGAATCATAGTTGCAGTTTCATCATCTGAGCTGCTTTTTAAGATCTAGGTAAACTTGTTCATTTTGGGGTTAAAAACAAACGTTTTCACATATTTCCATGTAGTTTTTTTTACCAGTTCCTCTTCTGAAAGGTAGACAATTGTTTTTCTCTTTCCCTCAGAAAATCTTAATATTCTCCTACATTGGCCCAGCACAGATCACTTTCCAATTACAGCAACAGCCTCATATCATAACCACATAAGTGGAGAAAATGTTCAGTAGCAATGACAGAATTTGCTGTTGCATTTAAGTGATGTTAACTATTATTTAACATTTAAACTTATTTTCAGATTTTTTTATTTATTCAAAAACCCTGGTAAGGGATGTTTTTCTGTATTTGGAGCATCAGAAAAAGTTTTATGGTGGAGGTGATGTTTTAAAGTCACTGACAAACTGCATGCATGCAGTTTGCTGTTTTGCTGCTAATACAGTAGCAGGTGCAGCTGCATACTTTTGCAATAAAAATGTTATGTTGTAATGGAATTCATGCATTACTTTTTGTTTGCTTTGAACCCAGAGCAGACGTCACACGCCAGACGGCATCAACACTGCATACTTTAGTATTTGTTCATTTATCGTGAGTAATATCGATATTGCAATATTAAGCACTGTTATCGAATATCGTAGGTTTTCCTAATATTGTGCAGCCCTAATATATATATATATATATATATATATATATATATATATATATATATATATATATGGGGGATATATGAATTAAAACTGAGCCACTTATATTCAATTTGAAAATCTGTATCTCAGGATGAATTAAAAAATTCACGTTTCTTGGTTTAAAAAGTTAAATAAATCTGATGTATTTTTCCCAATTCCAATCCTTCCAAAAACACGTGATCGGATCGAAGAATCCCTAGTGTCTGACTTGAAGTCACAAAGACAAGGGCCTCAGTCATGGCTTTGTTTCAAATCAAATCATTCTCACTTTTTTCAGTAAAATTAGAAGGTGGTCGACTCAGTGTGAGGCGTACAAGACAAATAAGAGACAGGATTCATTACCTGATTTCAGAAATACATTCAAAAAAACATTCTCAAGAATTTAAATCTGTATTTTAGGAGCAGTCCTAAATTGATATTTAAATAAATAATTTCAGTGACGTTTTCAAATTGTAAAAAAAAAAATTGTTGCAGGAAATGTAACAAAGTCAGTTTTTAAAATTGCCCCTGCATGAAATTTGTGTGATCATTTGAGTACATGAATGTAGCTAAAATGTCAACATTTAGATTTCTGAAACTCCCACCTTCCTTCCCCAAGCAGACACCTTTTACAGAAGAGAAGCACTGATAAGGTGTCTAGTGTTCTGCTTCAGCGTACACCTTTCAGGCCGTGTTGGCAGGCGTAACCCTCTTCGCTCCCACTATCATGTTTTCATAAAGTCTGTTAGGTCACACTTTAATCTCATCCTTTGCAATCCGTTAAAAAATATCACAAGTGTGAAAGCAGACATGATGTTTCATGCAGCAGTTTAAGCAGAAACATAAAGGATATGCAAAAGAAAGTGCCTCTGTGTCTGAAGGCTTTCCTGCTCTGGTTGATTTGATTTTTACTCACTGAAGATAAACAGAGTATCAGTACCACATAACAAAGTTTCGTCCTGACTCTGCTCACTGCCAGAGTTTACCCACAGGCATTGGCATTATGGAGAACATTTGTTGGTCCACATTGTTGGATACAATTGTAGTGATAAATATAGATTTATATCTATATTTATCAAATGTGGTGTAGATTGAGCTTGTTTAGTCATTTATAATCTTATAATAATTAATCGGGGCACAACCAAGTCTTTGTTAGTGTGAACTTGGAACACTTGAATTGATATTCAGATTTAAATTTAACACCACAAATTAACCTAA